ATTTTGTGTCTTATGCCTAAGAATGTAGATATAAACCATTTCCTTGTTAAATTAAATAGCTTAGCTCTTTCTATAAATTTTACTGTTGACTTCAAAGAAAATAACTCATTGCCTTTCCTAGATGTTTTAATTATTAACCCTTTCAGGGTGTGCTGTACTAGTATGGCTTACGCACAAGGGTTGGTGCCGTACTAATACACGTAAATTCTAGCGCCCTCAAATGAAGTGGGAAAAAGCTGGTAGGCATAGATGTGAGAGATTAGATCTGCGTGGTCAGTGTGCACTGTATAAAAAAATCCTGCAGCACACAGTGCAGAATGAGAAGAAAAAACTCTGACCGTGTTTTTGGTTTAAAACAGCGACTTTGCAGTGTATTTTCGCATGGTATTTATGGTTGTATTCTCATTTACACGGCCTCATTTGTTAGAATGGAATATATATTATAGAAATAGTGATTTTGATTGATATCATGAAGACAAGTACCTTAAAATTTAGCTCAAAATAGTGAAAATGTTTGATTTTTGCTGATGTTCAAGAGTCAACAGATCAAACCTCGCATCCAATACACGTCAACTGATGAGTCTAATATTCCTTCACAAGTGCGCTGATATTATTTATACCATTTCTACAATGATGCAGTAGTATACATAACAGTAAATCTTCTGTTTTTTGTGAGAAGAAAAAATCAAAATGGAAAGGAAAATTAATGTAAGAGTGGCGTGGTAATGTGACTAATGAACAGATACAATGTTATTTTAGTGCCAGGAATGTCTGTCTTGTTTATTCTGGACCCTATTTTGAAATTGGCACTTTTGAAATATGTGTAAAATTGGCCAAATTGTCAATTTCTGACCACTATATTGGGTAGTTGAAATTGGTAAATGGGTGGTTTCTTCTACTCAATCAATAGAACAAATGAAAGATCTAGTGAAATAGCTATGATTTTAGTAGACTAGAATATTGGATTTGGCCGAAAATAGGGATCAAACTGAGTGAAATCGCCATGACGTAAATATCGTCAAGACCGTTACCAAATTTCATACTGTTGGTGTCATTATGATCGGAAAAAGATTCTCTATCATTTCATGAGAATTTTTTGTTTTTTTCCTGAAAATTTTTTGACCCTGAGAACGAGTTTGGGAGAGGGCCTCTCGACCCTGAAAGGGTTAAGGGTAACCGTGATTGTGAATTTAAAATTTACAGAAATTCAACAAATAACTGTTCGTATTTACACTATTTTTCTTCACATGAAGATGGAGTTAAACTGTCAGTATTCTCATCAATGTTTTTGAGAACTTTACGTATTTGTAGCCCAGAGTTCATAGATGAAGAAATCTCCAAAATTTATGAAATAGCTAATAATCTAAAATACCCAAAAAACTTAATTGATAAATCCTTTAAAATAGCTAGAAATACTTTTTTACAATTCTAAAAGGAACAACCAGCCTTATTCAACTAAAAATATTATGTTGGTTCTCCCTTACCATCAAAACTTGGTTGATATGTCTTCTCTTCTTATAATAATAATAATAATAATAATAATAATATATTTTATTTTGACATGATACATGTATATAAAAAGTAGTATAATAGATGAGTGTACAGTGGACCCTCGCCTAGTGAACGCATCGCATAACGTTAAATTCGCACCGCATAAAGTTAAATTCGCCTAACGATACATTTTAACGCTAACATTTTGCCTTGGCTAATGCTAAAAAACTCGCCTAACGATATTCGTTCTCAGGTACCAATTAATATCGTTAGGTGAGGGTCCACTGTACATGCCAAAAGCCCCTTTATATGCAGAGCATTTCGGACAAACTTAGAGATTAACTTAAGATTAGTAAGGCAATAACAGTACACATGGTCATCAGGTGAGTTACATTGAATACAAGAGACTTGAGTATACTATTAAGTCATGCTATATGACTTTAATAAGTCTTGTAGAGAAGACGTACATTTTTTTATTATTAACCTTAAGTGGATACAATGGAGTGATTAACATTTGAGATGAATACAGACATTGAGAGCAAGCGTATGTTGATTATATTAATGAAAAAGTTTTACCTTTGTTCATGATATTGAGCAAATGCATGTACAGTTTTTACATGTACAGTAGGGCCCTGCTTTACGGGGTTCCGCTAATATGGCGATTTCAAATTATGACCAAAACTTGCTGTACGGCTCCCAGTCTTTTTAATACGGCACGCCCCACCCGGTTTGTTTACATCTCCTTGAGCACATTTCTCTGTTATGTCTGGAAACTTTTCAAAATTTCAAGTGTTTTAAAGTTATTGCATATTTTATATGTACTCTGATAATTATACTTATGTGTACCTGTACCTAAATATACATTGGTACCTTGAGTTACGAACATAATTCATTCCAGAAGGCTGTTCAGGTGCCGATACTGAACAAATTTGTTCCCCTAAGGAATAATGTAAATTAGATTAGTCCGTTGCAGATCCCCAAAAATACTCTTACAAAAGCACTTACAAAAATACACTTACATAATTGTTCGAGTTGGGAGCTGTTCAAAACTCGAGGTACCACTGTACTTCCACACTGTGCTGGCATGCAGGTACACATTACAGTCACTAAGAGTCTCTCTACTCTTGATGCCATATTCATAATAGTAACAAGTAATCTCTTGGGTGCATTAAATGTCATGTATTACTTTAATATAGACGTTTCCATTAATCCATCTGTAATATTTTTTTCAAAATTATATAATAAACACACTACATAACATATAAACATGGTAAATACACCCTACAGTAGAATAAATTAACATAAATATGAGATGTGGTAGTCAGGCAAACATCGGAGAAAATGTGTACACTATAATATTACTGGGGATAACTAGAAAATTATTCTTTTCGTATACCTTCACTCAGAGCATCATTTCTTCTGAAAATGGTGTTACATGAGAATGGGAGTGTTTCTCTTTATTTATTCTACTGTATCAACATGGAGACAACTTGTACACAATGTGAAGTGTTTGTATTATGGTATAATACAAACGTGTATGAATGAAAACCAGACACGTTCGCTTGGTTTGCTTACATTACGTGTGGGTGGGGTGGGCTGCCCTGGCTGGCTGGCTACCGTACTTCCCAAACCTGACTTCCTATACATAAAACTCACCTCTCGCCCCACATTAAGACTACAAATATTTTAAGGTAAATAATGGGTGTACTGTATGTGTATTTTACTTTTCATTGTTTTTAATGCCTAATTCTATTGTTAACTTAATATATGTTAGTGTAAACTTGTTATCTGCCGTGTAAGTGGGGCCCTACTGTATTTATGATGGGCTGGGATAGGTTAAGGAGGTAAGGTGTTTTTCAACTGTGGTTTAAAAATGCTATTTGAACCAGTGGTTCTGGCGATTTCTGTCGCAGAGTTCCAGATTTTGGGCCCTTTTATGTATAATGAGTTTTTGAAAAGATTTAGCCTTACATAGGGAATGTCATAGAGGTTTTTGTGCCTAGTGTTGTGTCTTGAGTCCTGTTGCAACTGTCAAGAAAGTGTTTCAGGTTGGGATTTGTGTTAGAATTGATTGTTCTGTAAATGTATGTTGCACAATAATGCAAGTGAATGTTTTGTACAGTGAGTACATTTAAGTCTTTGAAGAGTGGGAGGGTGTGTTGTTTAGCAGTGGATTGTATAATCATTCGCACTGCAGCTTTTTATGTTATTATTGATTTTAGGTGATTTTTCATTGTGAAACCCCAGGAACAAATAGCATAGTGTAAGTAGTGCTGTTTGTGGTACATATTAACATATCTTTGAGAGAATGCCAACTGTTTTAGAAACTTTTCTTGTTGTGTGTTGGATACGGGTGTTGAATTTCAGGCTGTTATCAAGGTGCAGACCCAGAAATTTTCCCCTCAATATGTTTAGCACTCATGTTTAGCACTAATGTTTAACATAATGTTTAGTTGAGCCTCACTTGATCTGCTCCCAGACATAATATAGAAAGCTTTATCAATATAAGTGTGAGTTTATTAGCAGTCATCCAGGTCGATATTTCTGTGAGCTTTTCATTAGCCCTTAAACTGTCCAAACGTAGATCTACGCTTTTTCAGCATTTCAAAGTATGTAAAAAAAATTTAATCTTTTTTTTTTTTACATTTGAAAATGTGTAAAAAAAACTTTGATCTAATTTTTTTTTTGTTATATTTGAAAATATGTAAAAAAAAAAACATAGATCTACTTTTGGAGTGCTACACATGTGAACATAGATCTTCTTGGACAGTTTAAGGGTTAAGGTTGAGTGATACAAGATTAGGGTGGGAGAAGACAAAAGTTGTGTCATTAGCAGAGAGAATAGGCCTAAGGGTTAAGGCCGTTCCAATAACTGAAGCAGACCTAGTAAATGCCCACAAAATAGATCAGGGACTGTTGGAGACTTCAGTCCTTCCTAAGGAAAATTGCAAAAATTAAAGTATCCCACCCCTGAGGTCTGTCAGGCCACCTTCTGTCTGAAACTGACTAAGTCTTCTCCATTTCACTATTATGTCTTCTTGTCTGTCAGCTGATACTAAGAAACAATCAGTTAAAGCTGTGAAAACCCAAAGTTGATATTTTAATCCTAAGACAATGTTTTGCACTAAATGGGGCAGGATTTTTTGTTTATTCTGTGTACACCCATTCTACAGAGCCATTATATCATGTCTAGACCAAAATTTACCACTCGCAGTAAATTTGAGTACACTTATCATTTACATGTAGATCTATGTAAATGACACGGGGCCCCAGTTACGTAGATCTACTTGAGTGAGAGTGAAAAGATTAACGAGTTAAGTTCAAGCCATCTGAAATGATTGCAGTTTACCATGTCCTCTGTTAGCATTCTTAGATTAGCAGATTGTGTTTGCTCTTTATTTTTTAATAAGAGTGTGCTTTGTTTAATCAGTTATATACAGGAAATACTTCCACAGCTTTATAGGATTATGCTGAAACTTCAGGAACTAAGATTTTGTAATTAATTGCAGATGATTTGCCTATTGCTCCATCACCTCCGCCAGTACTCCCACCACCTCCCCCACAACGACCGGAGAAAATGGACAAGGAAATCCAGAAGTTCGACTTGGAGGAGCTTATGATTCAGTTCAATTTTATTGTCAAAACTCATGATATGTCTGGTAAATTAATTTGTCTTTTGTTTTCTCCATTTTGTATATGTAGACTTTTAGTGAAGTGCTCTGTTTTCTTTAGACATAATAAATTAATTTTATATTAATCATGCTTTCAGATTTGTACTTTTTAGTAACAGTCATGACAAGCAATTATAATTGTTTTGAATGAGTGCTCAAACTCTGTCAATGAGGGACACAGTGAGAAGTTTAAATGCATATTGCAAAGGCAAATTAATTTAAATTTTTGTTTCTAATAGAGTTAGAGCTAGGGATGGAGTAGCAATAATGTTGAAGGATAAGTTACGGCAGGTAAAGAAGGAATATAAATGTATAAATTCAAGGATTATGTGGAGTAAAATAAAGGTTGGATGTGAAAAGTGGGTTATAGTAAGTGTTTATGCACCTGGAGAAGAGAGAGGTGTAGGAGGAGAGAGAAATTTTGGGAAATATTGAGTGAGTGTGTGGGGAGTTTTGAACCAAGTGAGAGGTACTTGTGGTTGTGAATCTCAATGCTAAAGTGGGTTAAAATGTTGTAGAGGGAGTAGTAGGTAAATTTGGGGTGCCAGGGGTAAATGAAAATAGGGAGCCATTAATTGAACTATGTGTAGAAAGAGGTTTGGTAATAAGTAATACAGTGGACCCTCGGTTATCGACTGTAATCTGTTCCAGAAGGTCGGCCTAAAACCGAAATGGTCGAAAACCGAAATAATATTTCCCATAAGAATTAATGTAAATACAGTTAATCCGTTCCAGACAACCAAAAATATTAACAAAAAATACATTTTTTGAAGATTAATTATAGTTTTACATACACAAAACAATGAGACCTAAATAAAATAAATACATGAACAATTAAATCACTATTACATACCTTTATTGTCGACTCTTGTTGGGGTTATTGTTTGGAAGGAGAATCCCCCTCCATAAGGACTTCAGGTAACAAGTCCCTCTCTGGAGGTTACTTCCTTTCTTTGTTTTTTAATGCCACTAGGACCAGCTTGAGAGTCACTGGACCCCTGTCACACAGAATAACTGTTCAGAGAGCTCTGTTTCTGGCATCTCTAAGATTTCCCTAAAGTGGGACAAAGTTTGTCACTGAACATGTTGCAGATATAGCTTGTATCAGCTTGGTCAGGGTGATACTTTTCAACAAAACTTTGCACCTCATTCCACTTGCACACCTGTCCTTAATCACTGAAAAAGGCACCTTGTCCCCTCTCTCTTCCTCCTCCTCTGAAGCAATTTCTTCAGCTGCATCTGTTGCTGTTCCAGTTGAAGGTCTTGCAACTCTTCAGTGGTTAGCTCTTCCCTCTGGTCCTCCACCAACTCTTCCACATCCTCGCCACTCACATCCAACCCCATGGACTTCCACAGTAGATTGCACAGCAGGTGTAGGGTCACCCCCAAACCCTTTAAAATCCTTCTCTTGGACATAATCTGGCCACAATTTTCTCCAAGCAGAGTTCAAAGTTCTGGAAGTCACTCCCTCAATGGAGGATACTGGAGTGATTCCTCCAAAACTCTCTTAGGGTCAAATGAATGTCCAAGGTCACTTCAAAATACCTTTGAAACACTGCTTTTGTGTAGAGTTTTTTCAAGTTAGAAAATGACCTGCTGATCCATGGGCTGGATGATGGGAGTGGTGTTAGGAGGCAAGAACTTCACTGATATAAAATGGAAATCCCTAAACAATTGGTCTTCCAAGTCTGGAGGATGAGCAGGAGCATTGTCCAGTACCAGGAGGCACTTAAGTGGCAATTTCTTTTCCAGGAGGTATTTTTTCACACTGGGCCAAACACATGATTGACCCACTCTTTGAAAATTTGCCTTGTGACCCATGCCTTATTATTAGCTTTCCACATCACACACAATCTATTCTTGACAGCATTGTTTTTCTTGAACACTCAGGGATTTTCAAAGTGATGCACCAGTAAAGGCTTCACTCTGAAATCTCCACTAGCATTAGCACAGAACAAAAGAGTAAGCCTGTGTTTCATAGGATTGTGTCATGGCAGTGCTTTTTCCTCCTGAGTAATGTAGGTCCTCTCTGGCATTTTCTTCCAATAGAGGCCTGTTTCATCACAATTGAACACTTGTTGGGGGAGGAATCTTTCAGCCTCTACGCATCCCTTGAATTCCTGCACAGATTTTTCAGCCGCACATTTGTCAGAACTTGCAGCCTCTCCATGCTTACAACGCTGTGTATGCCACTATGCTTCTTAAATCTCTCAAACCAGCCTTTGCTGGCCCTAAATTCACTGACAGCAGCACTTGTTCCAGGCATTTTCTTTACAAGATCCGCATGCAACTGCCTTGCCTTCTCACAAATCGACTCTGCAACACTATCTCCCGCTAATTGTTTTTAGGTGATCCACAAAACCAATAACTTCTGCATATCTTCCATTATCGGTGACCTTTGTTTGGTTGGCACAGTTACTCCTTTTGCCATATCAGCTTCCTTAATTTGTTCTTTCTTTGCCAGAATAGAAGTGATTGCTGATTTGTTTTTCCCATACATCCTGGCAAGTTCTAGCACCTGTACACCACTCTCATACTTTTCAGCAACTTCTTTCTTAAATTCCACTGTGTTTCTCACTTTTTTTACCAAAAGAATTTTACTAGGAGCTTTCTTTGAGGCCATGGTTACTTATTTCCCAGTCACACTTAATCAATAACCACGAAAATCAATGAATTATAGCGAAATGTTTGGACGAATGAGCAGAAGCTTCCTCACTCACCCAGAGACAAAGTCAGACTGACGCACTTGTGGCTGGCGGCGGCAGATTGATGCGTACCATATGGCCGATAAGTGAAATAACGGCTGATAACCTGGAGCCGAAAAACCAGCCAATAACTGAGTTGGCTGATAAGCAGAACGACCGATAACCGAGGGTCCACTGTACATATTTTATGAAAAAGAGGATAATTATTTAAACCCTCTCCTCACTTAGCAACGTACAGTAGTCCCTCGTTTTTCGTAATTAATCCATTCCTGGAGGAGCTACTATAAACGAAATTTACGATTTGCGAATCAATTTTCCCCATAAGAAATAATGTAAATACAATTAATCCGTTCCTGACACCCAGAAGTATTAAAACAAAAATTTTTTTTTACATGAAGTATACATGTAGTACATAAACAATACAATGGGAAATGATGAAACATTAACAGCATAACACTTACCTTTATTGGAGATTCTTCTTAGTGTATGGGAGACTGGAGGAGGAGAGTGGATTGTTTATAGTTTGGAAGGGGAATCCCCTTCCAGCAACACCTCAGGTACCAATTGCTTTTCTGGGGTTGCTTGTCTTCTCTGTTTCTTAATGCCACTAGGACCACCTTGAGAGTCACTGGAGTCCTGTCTCGCAAATTAACTGTGGAGAGAGCTCTGTTTCTGGCATCTCTTTAACACTTCCCTAGAATGGCCCAAGACTTTGTCACTGTACATGTTGCCAACATGGCTTGCAACAACCTTGTTAGGGTGATGTTTCTCCATAAAGTTTTCTATCTTACCCCGCATAGTAAAAATCTCTTTAATTTCTGAAGAAGGCACCTTCTTCCATCTCTCTTCCTCCTCCTCTGCAGCAAGATTCTGAGCTGCGATCTGTTGCTCTTCCTGCTGAAGCTCTTGCAGCTCCTCAGTGGTGAGCTCTTCGTTGTGGTCTTCCATCAATTCTTCCACATCCTCCAAACTCACATCCAACCCCATGGAACTCTCCAGTGCCACAATTGATTTTACAACAGACATAGGCTCATCAGGGTCAGTCCCAAACTCTTCAAAATCCCTTTTGTCGACACAATCTGGCCACAATTTTCAATCGTATTTCTCACCTTCTTTACCACAGGCTTGGCACTAGGAGCTTTCTTTGGAGCCATGGTAGTTATTTAGTACTTGCAAGCACTAAAATAAATGGAATATTATGAAATATTTCGCTGGAGCACGTGAGGGGACTTTCGCTCACTGGTAAACAATGCCAGACTGGCTGCCGCCACGGCTCACGCTGTGGGTACGCGTCCCAGACGAACTACGATTCGCGAGTCAACCTATGAAAAGCGAGTCCATGTTTATACGAAAATACCCCTATGATTGGCGAAATTTACGATTGCCGAGAACTACGAAAAGCGAGGGACCACTGTACTCATTTACCGATGCCTCGGACTTATGATGGGCTCTCTGACCAGTATGCATGCCTAAATAATGTATATTAGAGCTGATTTCCTCTATTCTGTTTATTACAATATACAGTATACTACTATATAAGCATCTAAAAAATATATACCAGAAATGTTATAAATGGTGCAAAAGTGACATTAAAGAATATCAAAGATAGTTGACACAAACCCATTACCATTATTGTATGCTCCTCACTTAGTGACGGAATTTGTTTACTGAGGTGATTTTAGGAATGGACTTCCATCATTCGGTGAGGAGAGGCTGTATACAAAATATGATATAGCATGTAATGAAAGTAGTTTGTTAGATTATGTATTTGTGGACAAAAGATTGATGGGTAGGCTTCAGGATGGTCATATTTATAGAGGGGCAATGGATACATTGGATCATTATCTAGTTGTAGCTACAGTTAGAGTAAGAGGTAGATGGGAGAAAGGAAAAATGGCAACAGTAAGTGAGAGGTGAAAGTTTATAAACTAAGAGAGGAGGAAGTTAGGGTGAGATATAAGCAACTATTGACAGAAAGGTGGGCTAGTGCAAGTATGGGTAGTGGGGGGGTTGAAGAGTTTTAAAAATGCAGTATTAGAATGTGGGACAGAAGTTTGTGGCTATAGGAGGGGGAGTGCAGGAGGAAAGAGGAGTGATTAGTGGAATGAGGTAAAGAGTGCAATAAAAGAGAAAAAAGGTAGCTTATGAGAGGTTTTTACAAAGCAGAAGTGATTTAAGTGAGTGTAAAACGAAAGCCTGTAATTGTTTTACATGATGGTAGGATTGCTGGTGTCCTTTTTTCTGTCTCATAAACATGCAAGATTTCAGGTTCATCTTGCTACT